AAAAGACAAGTCCGTCCAATGTGACCATTTCAGTTTTCTCACTTGACGATTCACTAGCTTTACATGTTTCGATCCATTTGGATCATCTTCAGAGGCACCAAACACTTTTTAGAAACCACTATCACAACAGCTGTCATATCAAATACACATGTAATGTCCAAGTACACAATGTTCCAGCTATCACTCACAGCAGCCTTTCTGGTTATAGAAATATTTAAAGTTGTTTTAAGTTTTAAAAACTTTGTTAAGAATTAAAATACATAAACCATACGGTTCGTGTCAATAACCCGTTGTCTCTGTTCAAGGTGGCCGATGTTGTGCCTCCTATGTAACTTGATTAGGGAGATTCTTAACCATTAAGAGACGGGCCATTTAAATTCTGGTAATGGAAGCGAGACGGAGTTAATTTAAATGCCCGCCATTGTAGAGTAATAAAAATTGTAATCATGTTACTCAAAATGCTGTGATTTCTACAATTTTTGTGATAAACAAACGAAATAAACGCTGCTTTTATCTAGAAAGAATATAGAATCAGATATTGTAATTTACAGATTTTAGAATCTGTAAAAATTGTTACATTAATTCCAAAAATTTTTCCCCAATTTTGAGCGTCTGTCCACAAAAATGCAAAAAGCTTCTGCACAATACGTTTCTGCAGTATAAATGCATGGTGCTGACGCACTGTCTGTGTTTTATCTGGCAATAGGAGAGGATGTTTACGTACTGCACATTCTCCAGTCAGGGCTTCCTGTATACCCGAGTGTGGATGAGTTCTTATCCTACTGTGACCTTATGAAACTCTGCTTGTTTATTCACGTATATCGGGACTATCCACACAGAGTTATTCTTCTTTGAATATCACCTCATTCCCCTTGCTTCCTCATCCCTTCAAAATCGACTGTAACACATTCTGAATGGTGTGAATTACGAGCGGCCTCTCAATTTCAGCTCCTTCAATGCAAAAAGGGGCCATGGTGCATAGTTGAAATTGCAATGTTTTATAAGCGTTATGAATAGAGGAGACCACTCGCCATCAGTGGCCTACTTCCTGCTAATACGAGACTGACATCGCGTGTGTGCGCTTTGCGTGGAAAACAGAGTCAATTACGGACAAAGTGCATGAATTGCGACGTCAGACTCTGCATTCAGTGACATGCAACATTCAGTTAGATGATGCAGGAGGGAAGACAGTCTACTTATAAAGCTGGTGTCCAAAAATAACGTAAGTAGAACAAGAATTTCTATCTTAAAATTAGATTTTAAAACACTGTGCGCACGCACGGCCTGCGAGTCACCATACGGTGTCTGGCTCATAACGGACAATATTAAGAATCTCCCTAATCAAGTTACATAGGAGGCACAACATCGGCCACCTTGAAGAGAGACGACAGGGGTTATTGACACAAACCATAATGTTTATGTATTTTAATTTTTAACAGAGTTTTTAAAACTTTAAAACAACTTTAAATATTTCTATAACCAGAAAGGCTGCTGTGAGTGATAGATGGAACATTGTGTACTTGGACATTACATGTGTATTTGATATGACAGCTGTTGTGATAGTGGTTTCTAAAAAGTGTTTGGTGCCTCTGAAGATGATCCAAATGGATCGAAACATGTAAGGCTAGTGAATCATCAAGTGAGAAAACTGAAATAGTCACATTGGACGGACTTGTCTTTTATAATTGTAACTGTTAGTGTGACGGACCAAAACGAAACAAATCAAAATTCAATGACCTCATCAGGAATTGAATGTGCGACTGACTTGTAGCACAGTGCCTCAACCAACTATGGTACCTGGTGCCCTTCCAAATAGCAGGAAAAATGTATAAATGATACAACTGGAAGGGATGTGGATAGAGGCGCACAATGTAGTCTTATTACAATTTCAGCTTTTCCCCTAAGAGACCAATGAGAACTACATAAATTTATATAAAATTCATGACAATGTTTCGAGCTCAGGAACTCCCGAATGTGAAGTAGCGCGGTTAATAACTCAACGTGACTTCAGCGAGGCTGATTTTGGATTGCATGTAATTTTATGTACATGTGTGAGCACATGTACTTCTGCAAAGGTTCTTTTTCTGGCAATGCACAACAAAACATGGTACCTGCACCATTCTCCCTCTAATGAAGGAAAATCTAAAACTGGCTTCCAATCATCTACTCTGATTTGCAAGTGTTGCCGCCTTCTCTTTCACAAAATAAAGTACTATATGCATGTATGCATAATGTAAAGAGAAGGCAGACTATAAAAATAATTGATTTTCAGAAATACTTGGCTCCTTGATCTCTGATGTTTTATGTGTACAGATTGTCCTCTTTGGTGGCAACCATGGTATCCCACGCAATAAGCAGCGGCAGCAGAGAGTGCACCCCTGAACTCTGGACACCATCCCATATGTTTTGTTATGTCATAAAATAATATCCTGTTTAGTCCAGTTTATTACACTTTCCCCTCACTAGCGCACTGTATTCTCATCAGATAATGAATTTACATGCCTGTGAAGTCAAGATTAACTCTGCTGAGTAAACATTAACCTGTTACCATGGTGGATGGAGTTATGTTGTATGAGGTGCTTACTTAAAAGGTTATTCAATTACTACGAAACCATCAGGAAATTCCTGTAGACTGTAACACAAGACTTCACAGTAATAACTGGTTTTATATATCACAACCCAAGGTGTACACTTCATTAACTTGTCAAATCTACTAATCAACATAACAGCGAATATTCCAGAAACATATGCTCATCAAGACTGGAAATTCTGGCTACCAAAAATGCAGAATACCACTTAATTTTCAGTAAATCCATTCTGCAAGCTGCAACTGGTCAACAAGACCACATCTGTCACCATGCAATTATCCCCTTAATTTATAGTTTAGTTAGTAAGACTGGCTAATACTGGAGGTAATTTAGCTGAACATGGGGCGTGTTGCAGCCTGCGTGTACTGCACTCTGTGATTTTTCTGCTGCCACATCGTGTAACTTTTCCATATTACAGGTGTACAGGCAAGCTACATACACCTGCCATGCACATCATCAAGTTTCATCATCATCATACTCACCACCGACAGACACGCTTGATGCGCACACATTAGCCTGCCTGCTGTAACAACTCCGTGACAGACTTCCCCGCAGCTGCCTAGGTTTGAGTGAGGAAGTACCATACGTCATGTCACGTCACTGATCTAGCCTAACTTATATCATTCAAAACTATGTACAGGTCCATCATTCAACATTCTATCAGCAACACAGGCTCTGGGCCCCTACCCTGATATTATGATGAACAACATACTCGAGATTGGTTCACCTTACAATGAAGATATTATCTTGGAATAAAAGGCTGACTGACTTTTAAATGAATATGAAAATGGATTAGTGTTTCCAATCTGATGCAAAACATTCAATATATACATTAGCATTTTATATATTTCTGTCTTAAGTCATTCTGGGATGATTTTTCAAGAAATACAGCATAAAAGAATTCCACAATGACAATATATCTGCCTGTGCATGCTCCGCCTCTGAAATATTAGAACAGATTATGACAAAATTTGGGACTGTCATGTTGTATTAAAAGTTGGCTAAGAACTTTACCGTACATTGACTGCAGAGCACAAAGGACTCTACATAAAGCCAAATCAACCTTTATCAAGTTAAAACAAAGATACCATTAACATTTACAGCATTCATTTTTGGAACATTTTTTGATATGGAGTACATTTAAGAAAATACGTGATGCCTCTATCAGTATAGTGTCAACAGTGCTGACTACATCTATCAAAAATATATCTGTATCTGCAGTAAAAAAACTTGCACAAAGAAACTTAACATCATGAAGAATGATTTGGAAAACATGTACACTTTAAGCTAGTGTAACTTTCCTACATTCTTTAAGATCACTATTTAATGACTCCATTACTATCTTAACTTACTAATGTGGATGAAGTGAAAGGGGTAAAATTGTTTTAATGACCTTTTTGGCTTCAAGTCACCTGGGAAGAAATAAATATATATGAATCCTTTTCTGAGGTAGGAACACACACAAGGCAGATTTATGTAAAACTGTGGGCTTAACAGAGGTTGAAAACCTGGGGACACATATTCACATTACTGAAACCTAAACTTGTCAGAGGTGAAGGTATCAATCAGTGTTCAGTGAAATCTAAGCAGAAATCATATGTATAATTCTCAAAATATAAGTCTGGACCTTTACTCCTAGCCAGCCAAGTTTTTAAAAATATGGATGTTTAGCAGTTTTTTTTAAATGGAGTGAACTCCAGAAGCAGAAAATAAGAAGCCTATATGAGTTATGCTACATGAGATATTACACCTAGATATATATTGTAGGATGAACCAACAATTCCTTCATTCATCAGCAAATACTTGCCCCTTTTACCGATACAGAAATGGCAAGATGTGCATTTGCACCCCCCCCACATCTGTGTAAAATGCCTTAGGTTCCCATCACTGTCCACAGCTCTGATTCATAATCTGAATGCACTAAATTTCATATAATTTATTTAAATAATCCTGAAGACCAGAGTCACTGGATTTGGGCAATTAGGAAACTTTGAATGCTTTCGATGATGAAGACAAGCATTATGCTTAACATCTATTATGCTTTTTAAATCTTTAATGTCGCTAAGGGTGAGTGGTAGTGAGGTGACTGATATGGTGTAAGCGAGCAGAACTATTATGAAGCCAACAGCTCTGGTTTAAAATACATATAGCAACATTTAAACTCCAATTCACACTATCAAGTGCATACTCTGTCACCCTATACCAGCCTTAGCCTGCATCACTTTCCACACATCACTCATCTGAATTCTGTGTTACATTAAATTATAAGTGGAAATGTTGCCAGCTGTAAATCAAACCTTCATGTGGAATCAACACAGCCACAAAGGGTGATTTCCAACTGATTAACATTACAATATTTAATTCACCTACGTCATCTATACACCTGTCTGAAAGGAAGGATGTAATCTCTACCTTCATGATCTCTCGAAATTTTCCGATCTCCCGTGTGATTAAGTCACGTTTTCCTTCTTCAATGTCTACATCATCCAGCATCTGTAAGAGCAGAGGGCATCGGGCTTAAGACATAAGAGCATCATCACAAATATAATACTTTCAACTTTTGTCTGAGAAATGTTTTCTTATAACTAAAAGCAAAAACCCTGTGTGAAATATCTGCTACAGTGCCTCATATTCAACATGATTTGTGCTAATGTGTAGGCATTTCTAGGCCAAAGTCATTAAAAGTTTCATCATGCGGATGCAGCCTGTGGCCTGTGATGAACCTCGATCACATTCACAGCATCATCAGATTCAAAATGATTCCCAGCAGAACACCAGTCAGCACAATCAATGCAGCCAGTGTCTAAATTGTATAAAGATCAAAAGATATAAACTGTGGCACAAAATGCAGCGCAACAGAATTTTAATGGATGTATTTTAACAAATTTTTGTTTCTATGAATAAAAAAAAACTGTGGCCTTTAGTCCGCAAGTGAACTATACCAACCAAGCAACCGCCACTTGTCAGCAAAATTAGGGACAACTTTTGCAGATAGAGGGTGTCATGTGGTCAGCACAACGAATCCCCATGGCTGTTAATCTCAGTTTTCTACACTGAAGCCACTATTTCCTTGAAATAGCTACTCAATATTCCTCACAACACTGAATGGACCCTGTTCCCGACCCACTATATCTCATAAAATCTGGCAGCGCCAAGAATCGAATCCAGGACCTCTGGATCTGTAGCCAGGAACTCTGACCACCAGACCACAGAGGCAGTCCTGATAAGATGTATATGAGGCAAAGAAATAAATGTTGCATTTAAGACAGTAACACATCTGCACAAAGTATAACCCATCTGACCTCTGCCATGGTTCCCAAACTCTTTGATGACTACTGTGACCTGCCACTAGCTCCTTGCACCCACATATATGGTTATTTGTTTAGATAAAAGGCATTTTTGGAATTCCTTGTCTCATTCTGAAATATTTTGTGCTAGTACTCCCTAAGTCACAACACAATGAGACCAATATTTTAACCACACAAGGTCTGTTCTTCACCAAAGCATATTACATTTCAAAATTAAGTAAAAATACCAATAGTTTCTAACCTTGCAACAATTACTACAGTTTCTAATTATACGTCTCCAACTTACCAGTCCTGCATCTTGAGGGACATCATTACTTTGGCCCTGGCCCTGACTGAGCTTGAGCAGTTTCTCCTGAGTTTTGGACATTTTGCGGTCCTTGCTCTCTGAAGAAGACAGAAAGATACCTCAGTACTCTGAATGAGCTTTAAGGATATAGGATAGAAAGTGCTATTCTTCTGTTTATCTTCAAACACACTAGCATAAGTCACAAGACATATCTTTTAACACTTTAACCTTTAAACACCGGACTTCTGAAATGGTGGTAAGCTTGAGCTGGCCAGAGTTTATTTAAATGCCCGTTGCTATTCTGCGTTGAAATGTCCGTTCCTGTTAGGGCGCTTAAACAATTTCAAGCATTGTGTTTAAAAATGCTGTATCTAACTCAATTTTTATGAGAAATGGAATTAACTTTGTGTCAGCAAAGAACATAGTGTCGCGTATTATAACAGAAGATTTGAAAAATTTTATACAAAGAGTTATGCCCTCTTCCCAATTCTTTCTTTTAATTTTGATGCATACTGCAAAAATGGTTCCCCAGTTCTTCACAGAGTTGTTCTGCATTACAAATTCATTTCTGTTTGTAACACTTGACAAATTTAGCAGTCCCTGATGTCATAAAACAGATGGAAGCAATAAAATCATTTGGCCTTCTGCTAGCACTGCTTACACTCTTTGGATTTTCGAATTTTTTGATTAAAGGGCAGAAGAACGAAAGAATAGGCTATTCGAGAGAAAGCTAGAGGGGTCCCTTCTTCGGTGCTAAGACCTTCCGTTATAGCTGCAAGAGATTATTGCCCTTTCTATGGGCGTGAACAGACAGTTGCATTGTGGCTGAGATACAGAGTGCGATCTGTGTTCTGTGCGTTCGTAGTGACATCGAATTCTGTAGTTGCATTTCAGCTTATCTATACATCAAGCAGACAACAACAAAAAAGGTATGTACATCGAATTTTACTATATATTTTTAACACATTAATCTGCAGAATCTGCAATAAAAGTACTGGCTCGTGGATGAGCTTGGGCATAACTCATACGAATGCTCTTTTTTGCTGTTGTTCACTTAGGTAACATTTTAATTCCTCTATTAGGGTTTTAGTCAAGTCTGTCTGGTAACTACCGCATTTAAACAAAGATAAAAAAACTCCATCCAGTGTGACTATTTAAGTTTCACTACTTGAAACTTAGCACCCTTACATGTTTTGATTCTTAACAGATCATCTTCCAAGGGAACATCAATACTTATTCAGAAACTTATTCAGGAATTGTGTGTGTATCTAATTTAGCACTCAGAACACCTATTGTGATAGTAGTTTCTGAATAAGTATCAATGTTCCCTCTGAAGATGATCCATTAAGGATTGAAACATATAAGGATGCTAAGTTTTCAAATAGTAAAACTTAAATAGTCACACTGGACAGAGTTGTTTTGGCTTTGTAATTGTTAGTGTGATGGACAACAATGAAACAAATCAAACTGCATTTAAAAATAAATATTTAGAACTGTGCATGCGCTTCTACTAGCGGCGTGTGCGCGCTTCCACTAGTGGAGTTTAAATGCCGGACCGGCCAAAATGGGGTACTTTGGCCATGACAACCATACCCATCACTGGCCCGACTGGGGCACTTCGGACGTTAAAGGTTATATCTACCAACATTCTCTGTAGCTAGTAACCTGCCTTGCCAGGAAAATGTTGGAAGTGCAAGTACCATCAAGAAATTCAAAAACCTATGGCAAAGACATTACCAACAATATTGACATAGAATTTTCACTGTTCAACACTTCAAAGCATGTAGTTCTATGGTTCAACAGTAGAAGTCACCGCATAACAGCAATATGAGGTGATACCACTTACAGTTAGGTGCTGCATTTACTATTCTTCAGTCCATATACTGCTTCTGTTTGTTGATGAGTTCCTATCTCCTTGTTAGAACTGTTCCCAAATTTCAAGGATTAAAGAGACATCACATACTGCTCCAAAAATTGTGTGCCGTACACTTGAATGTCATACAGACTTAGTTTATTTCACAATATTTACAATGTCAATATCATTCTGAACCTAAATGTACTTTCTTTTTTTCCATACATCTTTAAATCCTCTAGTAGAGGAAAAAGAGGTATTTAAATGGCACAGACTACAAAGTGATGAACGAAGTCATAAACAATAAAAATAGAGGGTACAACAGAAGCGCAAGTTAAAAATATAGCACACATTTCAGTACCCATTTTAACCCCTTGTCCAATACACCCCAGATATATAGACTAGCATCAATGGCAAAGCATTGTTCTGTCCTGGGTAGAGAAGTATGTAATTCTACTCTTCTTCTCTGGCAACATTCCGCATGGAGTGTGACAGACTGTACATACCATTCTCATCTTTAAACTATTGTAATGAATTCTATGACATCCACTTTGAGTCAGCCTTTGGGCTTGTGATAATAGTGCACTCTAACCTTCAGCATTCATTGCATTGAATTTGGGGATACTGCACTGATGTCTAAAAATTCTTGTCCTGCATACTTTGAAGAGTACACGGTTGTGTCACAATGCCAAAAAATGGTAAATATGATAAAAAATTTCTTGGATTTTATTTTTTTTCAATCTTGAGACATTCTATGTAAAACAACTAGATGACAGCAACTGAACTACACTTAACATCCTTGCTGGGAATGTCTTGCAGATGTTTGTTAAGAGAATTTAACTCAGCAAGACCCTCAGCATACACAGGAGGTGCATGCTGCAAAAATAATCAGTAGTGAAAGGGCTCATGTTCCTACATAAGGCAACATATCTGAACAACAAACAATGCAAAACTCAAAGAAAGAAAATTGAATCCTCAGAAAAATATAAATGAATTACAGAAACATAACAATGAACTGATTTTCTAAAATCAAATAATATTAAATCTGAATATCAATGAATGTGGATCTGACCTTTTACAATAAAACAGCAACAACGCAAAACCCTACCTGATCTGCTTCGATCTCCCTTGCCAAGCGGACCAGAGTAGTTATTCATGTCAGACTCATAATCCTCCATGGTCGCCACAATGCGTTCCATGGCGACTTTGTCAGTGTGTTTCATTGCTTCATCCATATAGTCATCTTCATCTGGAGTCTCATCCTGGAGGGGCGATCGCCCTCGTAGCTTCCGCCGGCGGTCAGCTACAAACCAATACACGTTTGGGTTCTCGCTTTAGGATTCAACACTATACAAATCACAGCAGTTACAGTAAGTCTAGAACTTAACGGGCTACATTTACTTTGGTTCATTTTCTTTGTTACACATATTTCTATGGCTATAAAAATGCAGAAACCTGTTTAGAATATATTGCAATACTTGAATGAATCCCCTGTTTAAAAAACCCCAACATATTAGGGGTGGTTCATGAGTTAAAAAATACACTGTATCAACTATAGGAGGTTATCTTGTGTCCTGTCCAATACTGCGGCTCTTTTGCCAAGGTAATGTGACCTGAGTGATCATTTCCGTCTCGTCTGAAGGTCAAGAATGTGTGAAGCACTTCCCTATAAACTTTAAGGCCTTGGAGATGAGGAACGGGGACACTATTTTTACCTCTCTTTGGGAATGTAAGTCTGCATCCTCTCATATGTATTGACTGCAAAATGAAGTAAACACAAATGCCACAAATAAAGCTGTTCATATCACTGAGTTTACTTGAAAACACACATTTTTGTTCAACAAGCTTTACTTGAAAATCAGGATTTGTGTTTTATATTGTTCATTAACTTCTATAATAGCAGACAAGACAGTACCTTTGTATTCATCCAACACAGTCTTTGTCTTTGCATCCACCTTCACCACTAACTTCTTTCCTCCTAAGTCCATGTCATGCAGGAGCCGAATAGCGCGCAGACCAGAATCTGGACAGCCAAACTCACAAAACCCGAAGGCTGCAATTCAGAACACAGAATGTATCATAACAATCCACATGTCAAGTGTCATGTTTATCAGACATAACTGAAACAATGTTTAACATAAAATCAACGTACTTAAAACAGCTTTGCTATATGGAGATTTGTAACATAGGTTTTATTGTATTTTAATTTAAGAGAAGTGGACTTATACAGGAACTGAGAGAGCTGTATAAGAGGAACATTTGTGGTTTGTAATCTTCTTTGATGATTAAATTGAGGGGGTTAAGAAGGGGTGGAAAGACAAAATGTATAAACATTTTGCTTGGAAATCCTTAAGGAAAGTGAAAACTCAGAAGAAAAGGGAGCAGATGGGGTGATATTACAGTAGATCTAATAGATAGAGACTGTGAATTTGGTAACTTGCTCAGGATAAGGTCCAATGGCAAATTTTGGTATTCATGATAATGAACCCTGTGGGTTCTGAGCCATGTTTTTTACTCGGATGGCTCTGGAGTAGCGCCTTTCAACTTGGAACCCTCCCCACCTTCACCTCCCCCTCCCAAGGCATCCATGTCATGACTCATTTACTGTTGGACCATCATTCCATTTTACTGTGTGATTCCCTCATCCTCCCATGTTCTCAAAGGAAGACCTCCTTCGATACGGGTCGAGATATGAGAGCAGTCTGATGCTTCCCATCAGTTGGCAAAGTGGGTCACAAAATTCTGTTTCTATCTGGCCTCTCCAAATTGTGTTTCAATTCTGTGCTCTCACTGTTGAGGGAAAGGGGTTTCTTTGTTGCAATGGTCATGTGTTTCATTGGGTATGCCGCAATAAGGTCTTCTTTAAGGGTCGCACCATAGCTCAAGGGGTTAGTAGCTGGCTTCCCACCGCGGCAGCCCAGGTTTGATCCCGGGTCTGGTCAAGTGGGATTTATGGTGGACAAAGTGGCACTGGGGCAGGTTTTCTCCGAGTACTTCGGTTTCCCCTGCCAATCTTCATTCCACCAAATTCTCCATCATCATAATCACCTGGGGCAGGCTCCAATAGGTCAATCAGTGACTGCCGTGCCGAGTGGACCCAGTTGGACTCCACTCCCCAATAAGCGAAAGGTCTTCTGTTTGGTATTACATTAACATTTGTTTGGGTTTGCTACTGCTCCATTCAGTGTTACTGTTACGACCATATAATTGGGCAACATTGCAATCTGGGTTGTCTCACAATGTTAAGTGTGTTTTGGTGATTTTCTAGGTCTGGGGCAGGCAGACAGCTCTGAGTGAACACTTAACATTATTTGGTTTCCTGTCTGGACTGACCAAGATGGTTGATGTCACAGTTTTGCAGCTGTTGCAATACATAGTTGTATTACTGAACAACTGATCAGTCACTATTATTACTATTATTTTCCTATTGTTCTGAGTTCTATGACATGAATTTATGTTTCACTCTTACTACATACTTGTTATTTTTGGATTCTGCCTTTTCTTGCTGAAGGCTTAAGCTTAGACACACCACTGCATCTGGGAAGAATCGTGAACGTGACAAAGGAACCAAGAGTGCATGCAGCTACTGTTCCTAAGCAGGAAGGAGCTGCTAAGTTCCATAAAAGTTGGCAGTTTCCTGAACAGCTAAATGACTATACAATTCTTTATTGGAGTCAATTGCAACACAACAACACAATAGTCAAGGTTAAAATTACCTTAGCTACATGTTTCGGCTTTTAAAGCCATCATCAGGCAAACACATGATCACCATATTCACACACTATTGAACTGCAATTTCAATTTCACATGTAGCTAAGGTAAGTTTAACCTTGACAGTTGTGTTGTTGTGTTGCGACAGACTCCAATAAAGAACTGTGTATAATAACACAACAGAATGCACAAAATGAAAAAAGCTAAACGACTGTCTCCAGCTCCTGAATTGTGGAATTAGTCAGAGTTTATCCATTTGAAAATTCCAGTTACAATGTATGTTATATTAATAAAACGACAGAGAAATTTCACTTTTTATTGTTCACACGGAAACAATGGTGGGAAGAAAACAGAAGGAAGATGAAGCTACTTTAAGTACACATTTTACTGAATAACGTGGAATATAGATTGTGCTCTATCATATAAACATGTTCACATTCTCATCCAAAATGAGCAAAATATGTGATTAAATACGGTTACCTTGCACTCGCTTCCATGAGACAACATGGCCACAAGCAGCCAGGATGTGTCTTATCATTGCATCTGGTGCTCGTTCAGTAATATTCCCTACAAAAACTGTGACAGGTGGTCCTGATGGCTCATGTTGTCTCTTACTGTATGAGTTGGCGCGTATTGCTCCTGAATTTCCATGATGTGGTGGATGATGGGGATGTGGCCTATATGGGCGCATTGGGGGCCCTGGCAGCGGGGGCATTGGGGGACCAGGTATCATCTGCAATATGTACTTTTATTAAGAAGCAACTCTCTTAACACAAGCTGGCACAGTTTAAAAATAGCATTAACCATCAACATATAAAAGCTTAAATTCCTACATTGAAAAGCTAAGTGCTCTTCCCAACTAACATGGATGCTACATTTGTATTGTGGATAATAATGACATCACCTCATCTTAATCCAGAGTGAACTTACACTGGACCTTCTTATGAAACTCCAGGTTTCTGCATGAAGAGACCTCAATTTACTCACTTCTACATCATATACAGAACAGAAGTAAACTTGCTCCTGTGCTTAATTAAGCATTATGCCATGAAGATATACAGGGGAATGGACGTATAGCTCCATCATTCTTGACTTCAGCATCAGATGGAGGTGAGTGTTCACACCCCAACCACTTTACCCCCATGGAAAGGGCCCCAATACCCACTGGATAGGAGGCTCAGTGGGCCTCAGAGCTGGTCTGGACACTGTACAGTAGAGAAAATTCTCTTGCCTCTACCAGGAATCAAACCCCAATTGTCCAGCCAAAAGCCTGTCAGTATACTGAGTTACCCTAGCTCCACATGTAGTTATCTGTTAAAATATTTCAGATGCTTGACAATAAATTTGTTTCAGAACCATCTATAAAATTCCCAATGAGGTTACTGGATTTTTTCAATTGACCCAATCCTTCCAGCCACACTATGGCCCTGGGGTTGACTCAGCTTCTAACAGAAATGAGTACCAGGAATCTTCCTTGGGGGTAAAGGGAGGCCGGCACGTAAGGCTGACAATCTTACAGCCATCTGTGAGCCGAATGTCTAGAAAATGTGAGAGCCTCAACATCTCACAACCATATGGCCTGTCATTGCCTGTTAGAGGGATAGCTTCTCTTTTACGGTCTACAAAATACTTCACTGTTCATAAATTATGAACCTTGGCAAATATTCAATCCCAAACACACAGAAAACCCTTTCTAGATTTTTAAACCACTGTTACTTTGTTCTAGTATACTCACATTACTATTCAACAACCACATAAGACAATGCCTTTGACATTAAACTTACTCTAATTATCACGATTCAATGGAATTTTCAAAATTAATGTCTCGTATTCAGAAACTCCTTATTTCGAACATTTTTCACTTTCTAGGAACCCAAAAAGCAAAACACAGCAGTAGATGAATGAAGAATTAAAAGAAGGAAAATGGGCAGGTATCCAATGGTTAAGATGTTCATGCAAAAATTCACAGGAATCTAACTTATGTGGATAATGGTTACTTACATGCGGCGGCATAGGCATCACAGCCTGCATCAGTGGAGGCGGAGCTGCAAGAAACAAAGAACCTCATACTGCATGGAATTACAAACACATGAACACAAACCATTTTTAGCATTCTGAATCAAATTTAGTCCATAGCAAATCATATAATCCCTCACAAACTATATTTTTATTATGACAAGATCCACCATTTCTTGCAGATAAAGAGAATTATGCTCATGAGTAATCAGTTTAATTTTAACCCTGAGTACCTTAAAGCAAACAAACTTGTAAATCAGACTTCTGAAGATCACAAATAAAGGAACTTACACCCAAAAATCTTTTATACAAATTTCTTAGCACATATCTTGAGAGTCCCCCCCATTGGTGTCTTCACCTTATCGTGGTGAGGGGGTTTGAGTATGCCAAGGACCCTGAGAGCTATACCAGCGGTAGCGTAGCTACTGGCAGGGCCTCAGGGCCTCCCTTGCTGGACAGGTCAAAGGGTAGGCATCAGACGAAGAGAGACACCAAAAACCAAAAACTGATGTCGGAAGCAGTGACATCAGCAGCGACTTGAAGCACAGAGCAAGTGATGCTCGAGATGGTTCAAGTTCGTATAGCAACAGGCAGGACCAGAGTGGTTTGAACGGCTGTTGTACTGCGATGTGGAAAGCAAATGGATAAACAGAGATACCATGTATGCGAGAGAGGGACGGATAGAAGTGACCAGAAGACGAGGAAGGAGACATAAGAAGATGCTGGATGATCTTGGGGACAAAAGAGGATACTTTTATTTGAAGGAGAAAGCTCTAGATTGCATTAAGTGGAGGAACTGTTTTGGAAAAGTCTGTGGACCTGTCATCTGACAGATTACTGATAAATGATTGAATCTTGAGAGTATTCAAATTCAGCAAACTAACTAACCAGACAGTGTACCACAGTGTACCCATGAGACTTTCATTGTGGTGAGGTGCACACTCGTGGGTTATGATAACATACATTTTAGAGGAATATAATGCCCCCATCTTGAAGGCAGAAGTGGACCAAGCTGGGAAAGTTACTGGTCTTACAGATGCGGGAGATAAACAGGTCTCAAAGGGCAGGAGCAGGTGATGTCCAAAAAGAAGAGAATTAATGATTCAACAATTGACTAGACCCATGTCACTGAGAGTACTACGAAGGTCAGCTAATTCACGTAAACAGGAAAACTGTGTAAAGCAGAATCAGACACACAATTACAGTTATCAAGCTAAAGTAAGGATACAGGACGCATCACAGTCACTACCACAAGAACCTCAAAGCCAAACAGAACAACCAAAGACTAATGAAACTGAAGGGACATGCAAGGAAGAGGCAATGTTGAATCTGAGATACTACCCTGAAATTTGTGTGGAGGGACTGAGGGAAAACTATTAAAAAAATAATTCAGTCATTATAGAAGGTCTCTGGGCAGAGACCTGAAACCTGAACCTCATAAACATAAAGATATACCAAGCTGTAAATAAAACAAATACTTAAGTGGTGGCTTAAAGACTATTACATTATTCTTCAAATTGTTTTTTCAACAACTAACCTCCAAGCTGCATGTATGGCATTGCCATTGTAGGTGGCATTGCAGGAATCCCGGGAACCATGGGTGGTCTCCCCGGGTATGACATCACCATGAAACCAACACTAAATAAAGAATACAAACTTCAGTAAGTTCACTACAAAGTATATTCCTTTACACAATCTTGTTACAAACCGGGGTTACTGCGGTAAGCTTCCTTTTGCTGGATGGCTAGCCGCAAAGATACAAAATTCCTGATCTGAGTCTATGAAACTCCAGAGTGACTAAATGATGTTCAAGTCCAACAATTTTCTTCCCTTTTCTTTCATATCACTCTTCATTTCCAACCTAGATTATGTCACAATCTATTTTATACCTAAACATTTTTACAGTCCAAATTTATTCAGTCAGTCCAGCTAACAAAAGAATATTTAGTTGGTTAGCTCACTTTTCAAAGAACTATATTAAAATATTCATGGTCAGATGTGATTACAGTAATTATTATTACATGCTTAAATAATTCTACATACACTGAACACATTACAAGATTATGAGCTTTCCACTGTAACATCTTGAAGTCAAGAAAAACTTTCAGCTTCCATTTTATATTCAAGGTTCAACAGTGTTCTCTTGAATGCTTGCAGAAATAACTGAAGGCTCTTATTCCTGATGTTACCTAAATGAAGCTTCCCCTTACCTGGATTCACACATTTATATAAAAGTATATTTTATGAAATTATAATGAACCCTAAGGCTACGAGGATGACAAAATGAACAGATCAGTATTTACTAAACTTTTCAGCTTCATGAATTTGCAAACACATAGTCAAACTGCAGATGTACAAATATATTAGAATAGGGAATCTGGGACAAACCTTTACAGAGATTCATGGGCAACTCAGGCCAGAAGAAGTGAACAAATGACCTAACTTCTTTAACATTTAATGATACCTAAGATGTATTGGAATACAAGCTGCAGATTAACAGACTGCTGAGAATATTTTATCTGATATTCATGAGAGGAGGCAATATATGAATCTTTATGTGTTGCATCCTGTTGTGTGTCAGATGCATCGAGTATTTTTACATCCATGGACGCAACAATTTCTTATAAAAATATACAAATATAGATTATTTACATTAAAATCTTAGAAAAATGACATGTTTCATCAGGTGTACATTTCTAGGACTATATCTTCGACATTAATTTGACCTTCACATAGATATATATTACTTCAAATAATTATATCTAGGAGAGGCAGTCAAATGAAAACGGGTCAGAAGCCAAAACATATTAAAGAACATTTCTTACCTCAAAAGTAATCTCCAAAACTGTTATACATTTATTCCACTGGGAGACAAGACAGTCAATACTTCTTTTGGCTTATTTTGGACTTCACCCATCGTCCGGTATATAAAAAGTCAATCCCATCCTTGAAAAAGCCTGTGGGCTCTCTACGGAACCACATCTTTACCCAGCCACACACATCTTCGTCTGATGCAAACCAATGTCCACGAATGTCTCTCTTCAGGTCTCCAAAAATGTGAAAATCACATGGGGAGAGATCTGGGCTGTAGGGGGGATGTTGAAGCACTTCCCAACCAAATCTCTGTAGCGTGTTCCTCACAGTTGGCAGTGTGGGGGCGCGCATTATCATGAAGAAGGATAATGCCGTTCAGTAGCATTCCAGGGCGTTTTGTCTTTATGGCACATCTCAGTTTCTGCAAAGTGTCTTCATAGCGCTGTGCACTGATTGTGGCCCCATGCTCGAGAAATTCGACCAGCAGAGGGCCTTTGCCGTCAAAGAAGGTCATCACCACTTTACTGGAAGTTGTGTGTACAGCTTTAGATTTCTTCAGTGGGGGTGAATTCACGTGTTTCCACAGTTGGCTCTGCCGTTTGCTCTCAGGTTCAAAATGGCGGCACCAAGTTTCGTCCCCAGTGGCAATACGGGACAGAAAAGCATACTCTTCCTCATGGTATCGTTGCAAGTGACCCAGTGATGCAGCCATTCTCTTGAGTCTTCTGTTCCTCCATGAGTTGATGTGGAACCCACTACATGTAGATTTTGGGGTGCAGCAGGTGTTTTGTCACAATGGCATGTATGGAACCGTGACCTATTCCCATCAAAAGACTAATTTCTTCTACAGTGATCCATCAGTTTGCCCAGACATGAAAATCCAATGCAGCAGTAACATCAGGAGTGATGACACAAGGAGCCTGTCCTGGGTGAGCATCATCTTGCAGTAACACACGTCCTTCTCAGAATCTCTTCTGCCATGCCAGCACATACGAACATGACATGCTGTGTTCGCCATAAACAACAGACATGCAACGATGAATTTCTCGTCCTCCTACTCCTTCAGCAGTCAAAAAGCGCACTACACTTCGCTGTTCTTCTTTACCCACCTCCATTACTGATGTTGGATGACCACACGTAGTGCTAACCTTACTTTGAGCATAATAAACAAATGACTGGTGTGCAAGGACACGCTGTCACTGTGCTTTCCTGAGTCCCCACCAGATGTTCATACCATAAGCAAATTCCAGTGTTACCAACTTGGGCGGTATGTGAGTTATGCGTGGTGCCCCGTTTTCATTTGACTGCCCCTTATATTACCAACACAAGTGCAGTAAAAAGTAGATAATACCAAGAGTTCTGTTACCAAGCCTAATATTACATGCTATATAGTGAAGTTCCAGCAGCCGCCGAAGTCAGTCTTGAGATAGTCGCCGGTGAAGAGGGTTGAGGTCCAGCATTCATTGAGATATAATATAACAGCAATTGAGATACTGGACCGTATAAGACTAAGATAACTGTGATATGGTGAATTGTATAAGTTCTGTATTTCAACATCCCGTTGCAATTGTTTAAATTAGCGTCCATTGTTTGTCTTTCATCAGGATTGTAACACTATTTACATTCTAACTTCAAAACTGCATGTTTCGGCCCAATATGCAACACAAATTTTAAAAGATTTTACCTCGTTTTACTTAAAAAGAAGACTAAAGCATGTGACTTTAACACGAATTAAAAGTGTAGCAGTTTTTAACACAGTTTTAGCCAAATATGTGTAACATACAAACACCTGAAGATGGCCGTTTAGGGCCGAAACTGGTAGTGCTGAAGTGCAGAATGTGGGAAGTGTTGCAGTTTTGACAGGGGAGGGGCAGTGGATGCTAACTTGAAGTGTATAAGTGTTGGTGTCTCCACCTTATCGTGGTGAGGGGGTTTGAGTATGCCAAGGACCCTGATAGGGACCAACGGTAGCACAGCTACTGGCAGGGACTCCCTTGCTGGACAGGTCAAAGGGTAGGCATCAGACAAAGAGAGACACCAAAAACCAAAACCTGATGCCGGAAGCAGCGTCATCAGCAGTGACTTGAAGCACAGAGCAAATGATGCTTGAGATGGTTCAAGTTCGTATAGCAACAGGCGTGACCAGAGTGGTTTGAACAGCTGTTGTACTGCAATGTGGAAAGCAAATGGAAAAACTACCACATTATCACTTTTCCTGGATAGTCTCTTTCCAAAAACAGAAGATCGCATTAAGTGGAGGAACTGTTCTGGAAGAGACTGTGGACCTGTCGTCTGACAGATTACTGATGAATGAATATAGTCATATTCAAAATACGGATCCATACTAAAAAAAAACAAGTTCAGCACCTAAGCAGAAACAGAACACCTGAAGATAAACCAATATGGGCTGAAACATGTCGTGTTTTAAGATCTTAGTGTAAGTAATATATTGTTATATTTTTATAAGAAACTGTTGTGTCGACAGATATAAAAATACTCAATGAAATATATGAAACTTCACAACAGGTTTTCTCCATATGTTATTTATGATGTGCAGGTGTCATACAACACATAAACAGATGTACAGCCACAACATTCACCTGCCAGCTGTAGTCGTTGGGATGTATGTGGTGGGGATACTCCCTGGAGTTGCTTCGTATATTGAGGAGCTGGCCTGGACAATTTCACTGGGATCAACTGACATCTGAAAAACAAAACATTATGCAGTTTTTTTGGAACTTTCTCAAGGCTACTTAATTTGAATAAATAACACTTTAGCAGACAGTTAAGATAAAATATTCATTATACTGATTCTGCATCTTGCTCCATCCTATTCAAGCAAGTTTCTGCAACTACATTTTTGAACACACACTGCAATAATGAAATTTCAGTATATTGTTCTCCATCTCCATATAGTCAGAGCCATCTAGTGAATGACACTAAGAAAAACAACTAATGTCACATCAGAAATTTCTACTGAGCCACTGCCTAGCAACAGTCATCTTTTCTGGCTCCACTATTCCAGCTTTCAGCCGTTTGGAGAGGATACACAGCATAATCTCATAATTCTTTTATTTTGTACCTATTATAATGTGAATGGCCAGAGCGTTGCTAGGTAACGGACCGGTAAATACCCCGCAACCCAAGAGACATAAGCCAACAACAGAAGAATCATCATTTCTAGGCAATGGCCTGTAAACAACCTTCAGTTGAGTGTGTTATGACAACAGGTAGGTAGGACCGGTAAATACCTTGCAACCCAAGAGACATAAGCAACAACAGAAGAATCATCATTTCTAGGCAATGGCCTGTAAACAACCTTCAGTTGAGTGTGTTATGACAACAGGAGTCAAGAATGAAAGATGTTTTCTATGTGGTTCGTGTGAAGCTTACATAAGTATCTGTTATAGCTTAGACTAGAAAGCAGAAGTCATATAAAATCACAATAATAAAAATGTTCACAATATTAGTCAAGGCGAATACTGATACACAAAGTATAAAACGCTTAAACTTGGCAGCGGTCAGGCATACGACCAAAGAAGTGATTAGACTGCCATTGTAGCAGAAGCTACTAGAAATGGGGCAAAATCTTCTGTACCAAGCCTGGATTGACAGAGGCCCTGTATATATTGTAAATATATTTTAAGATACTTAACATGTAACATCTTTCACATTATGACAAATGACTTATTACTGCCAACAATGACTCTGACAAAAGACAGACCTGTCCTCTCGTCAGAGAGAGAGCCCAACAATAACAAGACTGTAACTGCCAAACAGTAATAAATATCTGGTCATGAGCCCCAAATGGCTGGCTGACTGACTGACTGACTGACTGTCAGTCACACTGATACTTTGACTCGATTTAGACTAGAGTGAAAGACTATTGCAGAGTGCTTATAACAGATGTGAATGCAGTGACAGTTTTAGTTCAAGGGCAGTTATGAGTCAGTTGCATGTTGGAAGAGTAAGTCCTGGAAAAAAATTTAGTTCCAAGGTTGCAGAGTGATTGAAGACGAAACAGCAAAAAAACTTCAAAGTGATTTGAAGTGCTAATTTCTGTGCTGAGATCTGTTGCCAGGAGATGACTAGTGAAAACTGGGAATCCTAGTGTGTGTGCAACAGTGAACTGGAAAGTATGTAAATCAGCGAGACCGCTGTATTTAAGTGTGATTAACAGAACTTGAAACCAAGGTGCTAATAAATCCAATCATCTGAACTTGAACCCACAATTATTTGACATGCACACCACCCTACACATGGCACTATTTTCCTTACTTTTAAAAAATGAAAGTAGGCTTATTAGACCACTTTGCTGATTGTCTGTAGGTGTAGCTACCCATTTGTTGCTAGGCAAAAGCATGTGTAAGTATACTCTGCTTTCTTGTGATGAAGTAACAATAGCAACTTTTTTTTGTCATGAAAAAAAAAGATAAATGCACGACGATGCCAGAAACTCAACTACTCTTGTGATCTGAAAACTTAAAATTCAGCCATCATTACAGTACATATTGATATTTATATATTGAGTGCCTCAAATAACTTTAAGAATATTATGGCCCGTGATATAGCACCGTGTATTCTAAAAGAAGTTGATGACGTTTCTGAGGAACGTAAACTCCTATCAGACTACACCGCGTAACCTCGCAGGCAATAGCATTTATTCTTCATACTCATTCCGCTGCGAACCTCATATCCAATATGAAAGTACTGTCTTCTGGATGTGACACTTTGTAGTTTGGCAATTACCAACGTTAAAGGGGTCGTATTTCCTCCATCCCTGACGATGGTTGGTCGTTCCTTCGATTCGTGGTACCAAACAACACTCCGTTACGTACCAGAAGACGGTAATAATCTTCAAGAAGTTAGGTGTTCAAAACTACGTGGAACTACATTACATAAGTCGAATCTTAGATTACCTGAAGAAAGATACTGCACTATGGTTTCCTTTCCGGATTACGGAATTTCATGAATATTTATTCCTCCTAGAACTACACAACTTCAAGCCACATTACCAAAATGGCGGATGCCAGTAACAATTCGTATACCCTCTGTAGTCTTATTTCCAAACTAGGTTCTATCATTGCAGCCAACTTCCCTGATCCGAAGAGTTCTATCTTCTGTGCTATATCGTCTAGTCCAGTGTTTCCCAACCTTTTTTGATGCCGCGGACCCCCTGTACCGAAAGTTAATCCGACGCGGCCCCCATTAAACCCAAAATGGATATTTTTAAATTTTACGAGTACATATCATAAAAATGAAGCAGTAACTTAAAATTTTACAACACTAAATGTGTCATTTATGACAATAAAATACTGTTATAAATGGAGATATTCGGAAGATTACGAACATATCAATTAGGCGTAATATTATGAATTTAACACTCACCTAATGTGATGGCTGGTGCTGTTTTTCAGACGTCAGCTTTCGAATGTCAGGATCAAAACTGGATAATTTCAGACGTAGATCTGGCTCCACGTTAAGTCTGTTCCTATAGCTGTTTTTCATGAGTACAAGATGAGAAAATGTTGTCTCGCACAGATATGTAGTGGGAAATGGCAACAGATGTCTTACAGCCCTTTTGGAAATTTCAGGGTAAACAGACCTAGCTTGGAACCAAAACTCCAGTAACGGTAACGAAGGAAACAGCAATTTGAACGTCGAATCACAGGACAGCTCGATAAGTTGCTCTTCCTCGGCAGAAGGAAGTTCAAATTCAGAGTCTACAAAGGGATTTTTCATCCAGTCGTTATTTTCAAGACCAAACGGAAAATACAGACGTAGTTGAGACGCCAATGACCTCATATGTTCAATCATACTTTCAGCAACATCACTAGAAAGGGGTTGTTCACTGGAATCAATGAAATCACTCAGCATGTGAAAGGAATCGTATTTTCCTTTCTCGATACGGCTGCACCACAAATTTAACTTCTTGATTGTTGCCTCTATCTTGTCTTGCACAGAAAACACGGTGACAGATGTACCTTGAAGGCTCGAGTTAAGAGTATTCAAGATGTTAAAAATGTCCGCCAAGTAAGCAAGAGAGGAGAGCCATGCGAAATCATTTAAATAGTGTGTTAACTGAAATTTAGAGTTTATGAGGAACAACCTTACTTCGTCTCGAAGCTCAAGCAACCGCGTCAAAACCTTACCCCGGGACAGCCATCGGATTTCTGAGTGCAATAATAAGTGTTCGTGATCACTTCCCATTTCATTACAAAGCGCAGAAAATAATCGGCTGTTAAGAGGACGGGCTTTAATAAAATTGACAATTTTTACTGCCTCGTCTAGAACGATTTTCATTTTGGAGGGCATACGGCGTGCAGCTAATACTTCGCGGTGTATGCAACAATGTGTCCATTTAACAAGAGGTGCGACTTTCTGGATACGTGCGACCAAACCATTATGTATTCCCGACATTGCCTGAGCACCATCCGTGCTGATACCTACATATTTTTCCCATTGAAGTGTATTTGTAGTTATGAAGTCATTGACAACTTTGAAAAGGGCTTCAGCAGTTGTATTAAGAGGTAACGATTCACAGAACAAAAAATCTTCACAAACTTTATTTTCGTGTTCATATCGCACCAAAGCTACCAAATTAGCATTATTTGAAATATCGTGGCTTTCATCCAACTGCAACGCAAAATATTCACTATGACGTAACCGTTCTAGCAAAATATCTTTCACATTTTGAGCCATCTCGTCGATGCTTCTTTTCACAGTATTGTCATCATCATCATCATCAGTAATCTGTCAAGACGACAGGTCCACAGTCTCTTTCAAAACAATTCCTCCACCTAATGTCAGATGACGATATTACAGACACCTCGTTGGCATGTTTTTCAATAAACAAGTTCTTTGTTATCGTTTTTGTAGCAGGCAAAATTAAATCTTCCCCGACTGTATGGCGTTGTCCATTTCTAGCGATCAGAAGGGCGACTTCGTAAGAGGCAAGAACAGCCTTTTCATTTTTCGTTCCACATACAATGTCCTTAACTAAATTCTGTGAACCACAAAGTTGCAGTTTCTTATTTTGAAAATATTCTATTGGCTTACTAACTGATTCGCCATGTTTCGTTTCAATGTGGCGTCTCAACTTCGACGGCTTCATAGATTCATTCGATAACACTTCGCAACAAAGAACACACTGTGGTCTGTCTTCGCCGTCTTTATTCAGAACGGAAAATCCCATTTGCAAATAAGATGGACAATATTTGCGTGC